AAGTAGTAAAGAAAATTCGCTAAGTGTCTTTTTCGGTTAGGTGCACAAGTTTTTCGTGCAAAGAAGGATGTGCAGCTAAGCAAAATATACTGTATGACCATTTTTCATTCTCTTATGTACCGCTGAGACGCTGCTTATCGAAATGAACGTAGCAATGCTTTGCTCAACGTAAAAATTTTAAAATCTTTCGACGCAAATATTTCGAAAATGGTTCAATGAATCTTAAATCTGAAAAGTGTGTCTCTGTACGACTTGTAGATTGCTGGGAATAAGCGCCTTGTTTCAGAATAATATATAGATACTTCACCGGAAAGCAATATTATTAAGATCCGATTGGAGCTTGCCAGAATCTAAACTACTTGAAACAGTTGTGAATACTTGCAAGTCATGGGCATATAAGAGAAATTAAGAGTGTTTAAAGCAGTTGGAAATGTCATTAATAAAAATAACAAATAGAAGGGGACTAAAATGCTTCCCTAGGGAATGCCAGAAGACGCAATGAAAGGACGAGAAGCATTATCCACCACAACTGCACATTTGCGCGACGATAGATACGATTTTATCCAAGACAGAAAAACGGAGTGAAAACCTAAACTTGCTAATATAGATACTAGAATTGAATGTCTTACTATGTGGAATGACTTGGAAAAGTCAGTATATACTGCATCGACCTGATTACCGGATTAGCGGACAGACAAAATTCAGAGAAGATCGCAAGGTTTGTCACGGTAGACCTACTTATCTTAAGTCATGCCATGCATGTTCAGCCAATGATTTTTTTCCTTCCAGTTTATTATTATTTCCGACAAGAAGCTGTAGTTTGCATTGATATAGGCTAACCGTGCTTCAATCGAATTTGAAACTATTGCTTTTTTCGCCTTCAATATTGAAGACGCGCCACTATCATTTAGATCTTTAAGACAGGTTTGAAATTCCTTAAAATGTAGGCAATAATATTTTGCCACCTCTAACCAGGTTCCCCATATCGCTAATATGGCAGTGGCGGAAGAGCGATATTGGGATGCATGAAGTTAAAAGCAAAGCAGATTTTTAAAATATTTTTCCCATTCGATATTAAATCGTCAACATCACTGAAGCGAGCCTTTATATCTTCGGCCACTCGGTACATTGCGTGCCCAACAAGTAACGTGCAGTAACTTTGGCTAAAATACCTTCATCGCCTTTGCTGATTTTACATATTTTTCAAAAATTTTCTTTTTGATGCAAAAATGGCCATAGAGCATATAGATGCAATTTTGCATAAAAAATAAATGTCGCTTACGTTGTTTTAACGTTTAGGGCTCGATATATGTGCTCGCGTCAGTGACATTAAAATAATTTTCGACGAAATCAGTTGCATGGAATCATCAAATGCTCTTGCAATTGTGGAGTGATACGTCCGTTCTAGACAAACAGCATTTAATAAAAAATGCAATTAAATATGCTTTTTTGACAAAATATCCCTTTATAGACATTTAAGGCAAAATATGTAAGAATATACACTAACAAATCGATGTCATCTTACCACAAAACTCTTGATTCGCAACATTTGTTAATCTTTAAGTTCCTATGACTTACAAAAAAAATGTAAATGCATAGAAATCCGGGCCCTAATGATAACGAAGGGAGCAGTGTTCCGTGTAGTAACCAGTGAGAATTTTGAAGTCCTCTCTGCTTAAGCTAACTAGTTTCATTGAAGCTTCATTTGAAGAACGGATAAATTTTTGGCTGTGCTTTTGGCCCCTAGTGAACTTAGAACACTGAAGCAATCATATACTAGCCTAGAAGTTATTCTGTCGGACTTCAGTGCCAGAAGGATACCTGATTGTCCGACATAATGCAGATATATTTCAAGGCTGTGCCTCTTCTGAGGAGTTCTCTGCCGCAGATTTCTATTGCATGGAATATGGTGGATTTGGTCAATTTTTTAGTGATTTTACATGGTCAAATTTACAAAATAATTAAATATTTGAATTTTATCAAAAATCCTCATTAAGTTAACGTTAGCCACATGAAACTTTGCAATGAAAAAAATGAAATCTTTAAAGATCTCGAAGTTTGAATGAAAATTGTATCAATTTTAATTATTTTTCGGGTCAGGTTATAAAGTCGATTTTTTATTTATTTAATTTTTTTTTTGCTGCTATTTATAATTGCATAAGTCACTTCCGATACCAAGAATATAAAAAAAAAAACGATAAAATAAAATATTTTTTGATAATCTAATAGAATTGGCAACATATAAGTATGTATATACATATCTTTTGATTTATTTTTAAAATTTTGGTAACTTTTCAACATAAAATTGGAAGATATTTAAATTTTTTGATATCGCTATCGAAAGACAATTTTCTACATAACATAAAAAAACCGCGAAAAAAAATTTAAGCCCATTCCAAAGTTAAAGATTATTGATCATTCAAACCCCTAAAAAAGTTCACTGTGCAACGTTCAAACTTTTCAAACATATTAGGGTAATTCATATAAACGAGTAAGCGCCTACTAACCACGTACATCTCGAAACATGCTTAATTTTGTATGGAAAACCGGTTTATTTACGAGGTTTACACAGTTACGCGGCATTTACGCGTTTAAATGAATACCCTGATTATGAACAACGCCGTGCAATACAGCCATAGGAAGTTACATCATATGGCTTTAGGCATAGGAAGTAATGCCATATGACTTTATTTCACTTCACATTGGGAAAGGCATAACCAAAAATTTTACATATGAGAAATGCGATCCTATTTCATAACAGTTTCATACATTCCTCTAGTTAATATGCATCTTACCGATTTAAAAAAAAATATCATAGGCATATGCATTTGTATATATCTATGAGATTTTCTTTTACATCGCTAAGAAATATATATATAATTAAAGTGTGTACAAAGTTGTTAATGACAAAACCGAAAAGTAATCAACATTGCAGACGGCATAAAAGGAAAACTGAATTATTACGAAATATAAATATAGTGACAGCACTATTCGCCATTTTGCATTTTCTCGTTTCAGTTCGGGTACATTGTTTACTTGCGTTTTAATAACAAAATAAACAATAGTTTCTTGTCAAAAATATGAGCTTGTTGAACAAATTTTTAAAATTATATGTTTTACTAGTGCTTGAAAGGTGAATAATGGTGATTGATGGCAGTTTTTACTGTGCGATTGCTCATAAAAATAGCATTATTCTAAAAAATTGGTTTGTTAATAACTTTCAAAAGGTTAACAATATTATCCTTCCACCTCCGAATTGTTAATACACAGATTAAAATGCTCCGATTGGTACCCCTGATGACATTTTTTGGACTTTTTGTTTTTTTTTTTGCAAGTTGTACCTTAAACTAGAAAATTACCGAGTTACTTTTATATGCAACACCAGCTGTGCACTAGGTAAACATTACACCAAAAATTATGAAAGGTGCAATAACGACACAATGGCCTTCATTTTATTTTGACAGTGACAAATAAGAGCATACGTAAAAATATGGCCTTATTTCTCTATGTGAAGTGAAATAAAGCCATATGGCGTTATTTCCTATGGCTTTACTGCATGGCGTCATTATGAATATTTTTAAAATTTGTATTTTTTGGTTTTTCTTGTAAAATAAAATTGTATAAAATAAATTTCTTATTTTAGCTATGTTAAGGTTTTTAGTACCAATTTTTATTTCCCTTTCAGTGCCATGAACACGCCAACGGCGCGGTCAAAGCCACTTGGTGAATGCCTGACCTCTCTTTCAATTTCTCCTGATTTTTTCCCAACCAGACTTGTATACGTATATGAATACCAGGCCATAGTGATATACCAGTGAATTGTGTTGAGAATTAGTTGGCCAGGAAAGTCACCCTCGAGTTGATTTAACCTGGTAACGAGAGAGTGGGAGTGAGCTCTCTCTTTGGTTAGTGTATAGAGGATACTGTCCGATTGATATTCAGTGAATATTATTCACTCGATGGGACTTAAAGCTCAGTTAGTCTAGACTTAACTTACCGTAAGAAATCATCAATAATAACTCAATACGTCAACGTAAGCCAAGAGCGGAAATATTTTGTTTTTGTATTTTCTCTTTCAGCTGTTCAACAGTTCGCCTCTTAAAATGCCAATTCAAAAAAAAATCATGCAAACAAAAATGTTTGCGTTCATTTATTTTTAAGAAATACAAAAACGAGAGTCTGGCAAGCCTGATTCTCTCACCGCTCTCAATTTCCGTAAGACCGTAACATAAGAACCTAAAATCTACAGGTTCTTAAGTTTCTTACGGTAATTTAAGTTTTAACTAACCGCCAACACAGCTTCTCATATAACAGGTTGGCCAAGATATTAAGTTAAGTTAAGTTAAGTTACGGAAATTAAGTCTAGACTAACGGAGCTTTAAATATCCACTTACTGTCACTACTTTTTAGAGAACGATTATCATCTCAACAAGCTCTCTTAAAGTTTCAGATATTTTTCTTAACATGTAACTTAAACATTGGCACTGTTATAAAATTATAATAACGACGAAGATATTTATGTATATGAAATTTTATTTTATGTCTTCAGGTTTGTTCGGCCATAACTCAAATTTTGATTAACTTCTTTTAGCTTTATTTTTTCCCGTTTAACCTTTATCTGGAAAAGTTCTGGCAACGCTGAACGGAATACTGGGTATACTCGGTATCCGCGCAAAAACTCCCTGCTCTGGATGTGATTCGGCAACATTACCTACCATATTCTGGATATATGTTAAGCATTAGGAAAGCTCAGAAGGACACCAATTTTTTTAGGATACCATCAAACAATTTTAGAGGAACTAATTATAGAATATATAGTAGTATATTGAATTGGATAAGTATGCGCACGCATATATGTATCTCCAAGGCGCAACAAACTAATAAAATCAAAAGAATTTATAAATAAATTCATAATATTTTTAAAAGCAATATACGAGTGTTAGCTCATTTAGACTTGATTTTAAGAAAGTAGTTTCGAAATATATGCAAATTACGCTTACCTTAAGTAACCCGAGCTCCATGACATCAAAATAGAAATAAACCAGTATATCCAATCGTTACTGATCAAAACTGCCAGTTTTCTTTCAATGTTAAGTGGACTATAGTTGCAGTATAGAAAAAGAGGTATGAACAGTAACCGCAGTGTTACCGGAACCGCCAAATATTTAGGACCAGGCTGAAAAATAAATAAACAATTATTTTTTGCATGTACGTACATATGCATATGTATATAGTAGGGATGCGCGATCACTGTTGCCACACATGGGTTTTCCTACCAAAATTGGTAGGTTTTTTCCATTTGGTAGGTTGCTAGGCTTGGTTAGATTTTGGCAGGTTTCGTTACAATGAGTAATAGTTATTTGCGAAAAATAGAAAATATGTATCTCCAAACATTTTAGCAACCTTTTTACACGAATATTTCGTATAACGGCGACCGCAAACTTGTAAATATACCTGATTCCTAAGTACAAACGTTTACCCTTATTATTGACAATATACAATATGAACATCCATATTTAATTTATGGCGTACTTGGACCAAGTGTCCAGAAAAGTCTGCCAATGGGCTCGTATCCAATCATATTCCAAGCGGAGGTCTTCGCAATTGAAGTCTGTGTTCGCTAATGTGATCGTAGAAGGCAAATAAGGCCAGAATAAATATTATTTGGATATTCTCTTTTAAAACGGCATAAAGGTCTACACTAGCTTAACGCTGTGCTGGGTTCCGGGACATGACTGTCACGCAAAGCGGGAGGACCAAATGCGCTTGCATGGTCCCGAGCTATTCTGTGGTACATCTAAAGGATACACTGCAGACCTACTTAGGAGCTAGGAATAATCTCAGCTGCCTACTGGCGGAAGTCAAAAGGAATAAGACAATCAAAGATATTCATAACTACTTCCAGAAGGAACTCCGAAAGACTCCTTGAACTTAGAACTCTTACTGGCTACCTGACAGCACACTGAACGTTAACGTGCCATTTGAATTGAATGGGTTTTTCTGTAGAGACGGACTGTAGGTTTTGTGGGCTGGCCTGCACACGAAGCATGAATCGTAGTTTAATATACCCTAGAGAACGGTTGTCTTCTTCATCTAAAATTTGGAACATGGAATCATCCAAAGTGTTGAGATTTTTTAAATAGTTTAAATAGCCTATGCACTATGGTCTGGCGAATATCATTTCCTGGCCAAAAGTCGAGAAGTAACCAAATTGATTATAAACTTCGTATTCGAGAGTTTTTGAGGTCGCTGATTTCGAATATGTCACATTTTTTAAATTCAAAATGAGGGATCCAATATGGCGACCAAATTTTATAATTTTTCCCTTTTCACCAAAAGCCTGATTTCGTATCCGATGTAAGATTTTTGAGATTCAAAATGGCGGATCAAATATGGCGAACAAATTTTACAATTTATTCCATTTCACCAAAAACTCATATAAATGAGGGATATTCGAAGTCGCTGATTTCAAATCTGATGTCAGATGTTTGGAATTCAAGATGACGGATCCAATATGGCGACCAAATTTTATCTTTTTTTTCCTTTTCACCAAGAACTCATATAAATGGGGGGTTCTCGAGCTCGCTGATTTAAAATTTGATGTCAGATTTTTTAAATTGAAAATGGCGGATCCAATATGGCGCTCAAATTTTATAATTTTTTTTTTCACCAAAAAATGTTTAGCTATTCATTGGATCCATTTTTAAGGACTTTTCTTAGTTTATGCGCGTTCGTGGGATTTTCACAAACTGTTCTCAAAGTAACAGCTAAATCCACTTGGTCTCTTTTTTAAGCAGCTGTGGAAGTAGCACGAAACATTAAGTCTACGTTATTTTCCTGATTTCCTGCTAACTCCGCAGCTTGTCTTCCTTGGGACCAGTCCGACTATTGAATATAGGCAAAAGGTTTGCGGCTCATTGTCGATGTTGATGGAATCGGGTTTTCTTATTATTGTTTTTGATTCAAGCCATTTCGCATTTTGAATTAAGAAATATCCGCGCTGTCGATGACATTTCTCCCATTTTTCGCATATTTTCTTGCATACCATTCTTGCTTTTTCCCTAATGTAGATATTATATTCTTCGGATGTGTTCCCTTTAATAATATTTCCCAATATAAAGTTTAAAACGGTGGGCTCTTTTGCATCTTTATTGACTGCTTCTGTCCAAACATCGAAAAGCACAGCAAAATATACGTAGAAGTTTTATAAGAAAAAAGCCCATTTTACAAAAAATGCAAAAAAGTGTAACATGATTCTCAGACCATAATTGAACCTTTTCAATGTCCACGAAGTATGAAGACCGCCAAATGAAGCCAATTTTATATAGCTCCAATTAAAAGTGAGATATTATTACATAAATTATAGTTCATTTTGAAAAGGAGTTTCATTTTTACTTAGCAAGCTACATATGTACAAGCTTTTGTTGTTAATCGCAAAAATATTACCTTTGTTATTCATTTCCATTCTTGTTTTTTAATAGCTTTATTACTCGAAGAAATATTTCAATTCGAACTACAAGAACTCTGACTACGAAAGAAAAAAATACGAAAACGTTTTGTAGATATGTCAACTTTAACAGCTGATATCATAACGGGAAAACAATTTACGAAAAAACTGAGTATGCACTTTTTTGCTCTGGTCAATTAGTTTAGTAATGGAAGGGAAAAAGTCGATTTATCGATACTTTAAAAAATGACTCTCGGCCAACCAATAGCAGTTCCCGGACCATAGTGCTATGGATGTAGTAATTACCGTTAGGATTTAGCACAATATATCTTCTTAGGTCGCAGCGCGAGTATTTCCGACTTAATAATAATAAAAATATCGTCACTAGGCACGAATGTAGACGCTCGGGTGTTTTGACGGCGAAAAAGGACGCGTGAAAACATTTTACGAAAAAATATACTTGAAAAAATTTCGGCGAAGAAAGACGCGTAAACGTGAATTCAACATCATTCCAGAAAAACTCTTTATGGAATTCGTATACTGTACACATAGTTGACCGCAAAAATAAGTTTATGCGTCTTTCTTTGCCGTCAAAGAGGTTAGCGCGTCTATGTTTAGGGTCATCCTTCGCCGAAAATTTTTTTACGCGGGTTTTTCTCTGTCAACTTTTGAGCTCGCGTTTTTATACGCATCTAGTGACGATATGTATGTATGTGTAAAGAGAAAGTTAATAGGTTTTTATTTTAAAAGTTGAGTTTTAGTTTTACTAAATGTTAGGTTATCTATGTTTTTAATAAATTTGACATTGAAAAAAAAATATTAAAAGCTCAATGTTTGGTTGGTTATTGTAGGAAATTTTGGTAGGAAAAAAAATTTGTCTGTGGCAACATAATTTTTGATTAATCAAAACAATTAATTTCCCCGATGAGTAACAGTTTGATTAATAAAAATCTCATTAATTTAATCACAAAACTGACCCATCATAACCTAATTAACGAGGAACCTAAATAATTTCTGTTATATTTTGTTTTACTTGGAAAAAACAAAATAAATTGAAATTAGGGTGGTATAAAGCTTTTTTTCAAGCTACTCCCAAAACTAAAGAATATCGAATGTAAGCAGGCCCGTATCTTTTATTTTTTTTAAATCGGTTAATACTAAACTAAAGTTTTCCGTATTTTTTACAAAGGGAAAACAAATGTTTCGTAGAATTGCCATAAAATCGATAAAATAAATATCTTTTGTTCGAATCTTAATATTCTCTTCAGAAATTTTTAAAAAAATTAAATTATGATTTAACTTAAAACGTTTACTATATTTTATAACCGATTATCGTGTTCGTAACTACATCGCGAGGAGGAGGATGGTTTCGAGCGCAGAAGTCCCCGAAGGTCGAAAAACTTTTGACTTCCATTCACCAGGGTGTGGTCAGAAGTGATTATTTTGCGTATGGTTCAAAAACAGCTCAAAACGTTCCGACATTTATTTCACTCCATTTCATTTATTCAAACAGCCAAGGAATACATAACAATTATCTTACTGACTATGCAACATAACTAGTGTACATCGTCGTTAAAAGTACACTCTTAAAAGTGTATGTAACACATGAAATGTTTAAATTTGGTATATAAAAGTAAACAGGCAGTGTTTAATTTTGCACACATTAGGAGAGGAAACTGGTTGCCTCTCTTGATATGCGTAAATTTAAACGAAAATTTTCAGAGCAAATTTTAAACATTTTATGTGTAAACTGTAAAATTTTGAGCATTAAGTGTTTAAAATTCAACAAACAAATTTGAAATTTGTTCTACGCCACACAGGTTTTAACACGGTGTGTAAATTAACATTCATGTAGAGAGGAAACCTATCTTAAAATGCGCAAATTTAAACAAAAATTTTTTAGAGTGTACAAAGCCGCGTATCGTCATTCTGCAAAAACGCGTAACTGACATTATTGCCAAAGATTGTATTTGCTCACCGAAGCTCCTGGCTCAAGCCTTATCCATTCGTCCTGAAATATACCAGCCAAAAATGCGATTGTCTTTTAAAAGAGAGAACAATGTTGAAATATAAGTGTTCTTACTCTCTACAAAATAATTCATGCAACCTCACATACGCAGTTTTGCATTATGTTGATACGCGGTTTTGTACTTTAAACGACGACATGGTTTACATATATATGTATATATCTTAAAACTAAGTTTTTTTAATGAGCATTAAAAGCATAAATTGATTTAAATCTATATACATGAAACATGTCAGTATGTCACAAGTCTTTAACGGAAACTTTGAGCGGAATTATACTTAAGATCTCAGCACAATCTCTTGGCAGACGTAAGACGTTTAAAACAAATTTTATATTTATTGAAGAAAACATTTGTACAACTTAAGACGAAAACAGTATTTTATAAGTACATCAACTAAATACACATATACATATATACATAGGCAAATATAAATCAAATACAATTGGGAGTTAAAATATGTAACATAATTTTGAACTTATGAATAATTTTGTAAATTAAGTAATACAGTTAAGCGTGAGGTTATAACAATACTCAACATTCTTAATCTTTAATAAGAGGATAAGTATAGTTGGGATACAGGTTAAGAGATTGAAAGCATGGGAGGAGGGAACAGAAAAGAAGTCAGAAAATATTAATCCAGTATGTTACTGTAGTTCACAGAAGTAACTAAGAATTTATGTTTTGTAGCTGCCTCTATTCAGT